TTTTGGGCATAAGTAAATGGTCAAGCACTTTGCACTTACATAAATTTAAAATTAAGTATTTTACTGTAAAAAAGCAATAAAAATTCACCTTTCCCTCTACCAGAGGCCACCAAATTCTGGCTTCCATTGCAGAGAACATGACCCAATTTGAAGTTTGTGAGCTGTAAAATCTGGGGACACCTCATTGTAGAGTCATTGGTCCTTGTTTCCATTGCAGCTCTGTGAAATGTGTGACACAGCAGACTAACTCACATGGTTATACTGAATTCATGCCATAGAATTCAAATAAATGATAGCGGCAGGTCTAGAACAGAGTAAAATTTATAAAAATTTTCAAGATTGTGTTCTTAGTTAATTAGGAGTAGGCTAGAAATAGATAACCTGAAATACAATGTGGGAAATTAATATTAATGATTTTACATTTTGACAAAAATTTTAAAAATAAATTTTGACCTCAAAGAGACAGCAATGGCTAAAACGCTGGCAAATAGTTTTTTTTGTTTATAAGCCTATCTACTAATATTTCTCATTTAGATACAGATTCGTAACACATTTGGGCCCATTAATATGGGAAAAATTTCAGCCATAATTTGCGGTGTTATATTACTCTAGGCCGCATAGTGCAACAATCTGGTGGTGGCAGGCTCTGCATAGAAACCAATCAGCTTCCAGGTTTTTATTGCCAAAGCTTAAATGAAACAACCTGGCTTAAGTTAGAAGGCTGATTGGCTACCTATGTCAGCTCAGACTGCACCAGTTTCTGAGTGGCACTTGATTTAGTTTAATTCAACCTCCTCAATGCAATGCTGTGTCTTCATACAAACTATTTATTGAAATACATTTTTACTGAAAAATAAAACCATTCACCTCAATCTATTATTTGTGATTTCAAAGCTAAAGATAAACATAGTAGTGGCTTAAAAGCATGTCCTTAAGATACAACAGGATAAGTCAGATTCTAGCTGGCAAAGCCTCTTGAATAATTAAACGCTGTAAAGTGGTGCAGGAAAAAGAGCCGTCCACAATAACAAGAATGAAGAATATGTAAGATAAAAGGCAAGGAAAATAAAATAAAAAGGACAGACAATGACAAATCACATACACAAATGATGGGGTGTTAGAGACCCAGAGGAAAGGGGCACACCCATACCCGCCCTTCACCATTGAGCTTTGTAGAAATTAATTTTTGTCATGGCTTCCAGGCTGTTGCTGCAAACCTGGCTTATAGACTTTAATTTACACAGCATATAAATTGCAGGCGATTGTTGGCCATAATTTGGTCACTTGCATTGTGCCATATTCTTATTTTTTAGCTTCCATTGTTGTAGCACCCTTCTAAGTAGGCTTAGGGGTGAAAGGGGGCCCCCTTTTTTTTCTAGCAATCTATTGTTTCGTATAGAGGCTAAAATGATAGCCAGGTGGGTCAAATTAAGGTCAGAGCTGAGAGGCTCTCCAGTCCTGCTCTCTGGAATTTCCCCCTGCTGTAGAATTTTGGAGAAAGATCTAAGAAGCAGTGGGGCGGAGTTGAGGAAGTGCTGGTCTGTACTCCTAGAGCAGTGTTCTCAACGTATTTCTTTCTAGCGCCGCGACCCCTTAACACACAGTTCCTCATGTTGTGGTGACCCCCCAACCATAAAATTATTTTCGTTGCTACTTCATAACTGTAATTTGCAGTAGGAGGAATAGTGGCACGTCATTGGTGTCATTGGGGAGGAAGGGGGGGGGGGGGGGGGGGGGGGGGGGGGGGGAATAGTGCCCCCCATCATTCGGTATCATGGGAGGAATAGTGCCCGTCATTGGTGTCAGATGGGAGGAATAGTGCCACCCCTTCATTGGTGTCAATGGGAGGAATCGTCTGCCCCGTCATTGGTGTCAGTGGGAGGAATAGTGTGCCTCCGTCATTGGTGTCAGTGGGAGGAATAGTGCTCCATCATGCTTGTCACGTTGGGAGGAATAGTGCCCCATCATCGGTATCAGTGGGAGGAATAGTGCCCCATCATTGGTGTCAGCATGGAGGAATAGTGCCCCTTCATCGGTATCATGGGAGGAATAGTGCCCCATCATCGGTCGTCAGTGGGAGGAATAGTGCCCCATCATCGGTGTCAGTGGGAGGAATAGCGCCCCATCATTGGTGTCAGGGGAGGAATAGTGCCCCATCATTGGTGTCAGTGTGAGGAATAGTGCCCCATCATTGTAACAGTGGGAGGAATAGTGCCCCATCATTGGTATCAGTGGGGGAGGAATAGTGCCCCATCATTGCTGTCAGTGGGAGGAATAGTGCCCCATCATTGGTGTCAGTGGGAGGGAATAGTGCCCCCCCATCATTGGTGTCAGTGGGGGGGGATAGGAATAGTGCCCCATCATTGGTGTCAGTGGGGGGAGGAATAGTGCCTCATCATTGGTATCAGTGGGAGGAATAGTGCCCCCATCATTGGTGTCAGTGGGAGGAATAGTGCCCCATCATTGGGGGTGTCAGTGGGAGGAATAGTGCCCCAAATCATTGGTGTCAGTGGGAGGAATAGTGCCCCATCATAGGTGTCAAGTGGGAGGAATAGTGCCCCCATCATTGGTGTCAGTGGGGGGAATAGTGCCCCATCATAGGGAGTGTCAGTGGGGGGGAGGATAGTGCCCATCCTTGGTGTCATGGGGGAGGAATAGTGCCCCATCCTTGGTGTCAAGTGGGAGGAAATAGTGCCCCATCCTTGGTGTCAGTGGGGGGAGGAATAGTTGCCCCCATCCTTGGTGTCAGTGGGGGGAGGAATAGTGCCCCATCCTTGGTGTCAGTGGGGGGAGGTAATAGTGCCCCATCCTTGGTGTCAGTGGGGGGGAGGAATTGTGCCCCATCGTTGGTGTGAGTGGGGGGGGAGGAGATCGTGCCCCCATCCTTGGTGTCAGTGGGGGAGGAAAAGTGCCCCATCGTTGGTGTCATTTGGGGGAGGAATAGTGCCCCATCGTTGGTGTCAGTGGGAGGAATAGTGCCCCCATCATTGGTGTCAGTGGGAGGAATAGTCGCCCCATCATAGTGTCATTGGGGGGTCTAATAGTGCCCCATCATTGGTTCAGTGGGGGTGAATAGTGCCCCATCATAGGTGTCAGTGGGGGAATAGTGCCCCATCATAGGTGTCCAGTGGGGGGAGGAAATAGTGCCCCATCCTTGGTGTCAGTGGGGGGAGGAATAGTGGCCCATCCTTGGTGGCAGTGGGGGAGGAATAGTGCCCCATCCTTGGTGTCAGTGGGGGGAGGAATAGTGCCCCATCCTTGGTGTCAGTGGGGGGAGGAATAGTGCCCCATCCTTGGTGTCAGTGGGGGAGGAATTGTGCCCCCATCGTTGGTGTCAGTGGGGGGAGGAATCGTGCCCCATCCTTGGTGTCAGTGGGGGAGGAATAGTGCCCCATCGTTGGTGTCATTTTGGGGGAGGAATAGTGCCCCATCGTTGGTGTCAGTGGGAGGAATAGTGCCCCATCATTGGTTGTCAGTGGGAGGAATAGTGTCCCATCGTTGGTGTCAGTGGGAGGAATAGTGCCCCATCATTGGTGTCAGTGGGAGGAAAAGTGCCCCCATCATAGGTGGTCATGGGGGAAATAGTGCCCCATCATTTGGTGTCAGTGGGGGGAATAGTGCCCCATCATAGTGTCAGTGGGGGGAATAGTGCCCCAATCATAGGTGTCAGTGGGGGGGGAATAGTGCCCCATCCTTGGTGTCAGTGGGGAGGAATAGTGCCCCATCCTTGGTGTCAGTGGGGGGAGGAATAGTGCCCCATCCTTGGTGTCAGTGGGGGGAGGAATAGTGCCCCATCCTTGGTGTCAGTGGGGGGAGGAATAGTGCCCCATCCTTGGTGTCAGTGGTGGGGAGGAATTGTGCCCCCATCATTGGTGTCAGTGGGGGGAGGAATCGTGCCCCAAAAAAAAGGGGGGCGATCCTTGGTGTCAGTGGGGGAGGAATAGTGCCCCATCGTTGGTGTCCATTTGGGGGAGGAATAGTGCCCCATCGTTGGTGTCAGTGGGAGGAATAGTGCCTCCATCATTGGTGTCAGTGGGAGGAAATAGTGTCCCATCATTGGTGTCAGTGGGAGGAATAGTGCCCCATCATTGGTATTAGTGACACCAATGATGGGGCACTATTCCCACTGACACCAATGATACTTACCTTGCAGACCCCTGCTCCAGCCTGCGCTCGCTCGCTCGCTCGCGTCCCTCCCTCTCCCATGGTAACCTTTCTGACACTTACCTGTCAGATGTCTTCCTTCTCCGGCCCGCTTCTCCTCCTCTTCACATCGCTCGATCTCTTCGCGGTGCCGCCTCGGCTCCTCCTCACTCCAAGCTCCACCTCCTTGCCGGTGATTGGCCGCCTGTGAGCCTCTCCTGAGCTACAGTGCCGGCGGCCAATCACAGGCGAGATTGATCTCGAGGTTGTGTCCAGATGACAGGGCGGCATGTCATCCCGCCCACACCTGGAGACGGCGGTGACGGCGGCGGCGGCGAGGAGCGGTGTATCGGTTCCTAAGACCATCGGAAATATGTGTTTTTCCGATGGTCTTAGGCGACCCCTGTGGAAGCGTCGTTCGACCCCCAAAGGGGTCTCGACCCCCAGGTTGAAGAACCGCTGTCCTAGAGGATCCTGGTTAATTCCCAACAGAAGGCTTGGCAAAGGGGCCAGGACAGCCTGCAAAAGTAACTGAGCCTGCTGAGCAAGGGGAGACAGTAAGAGAGAGGTCAGATGGAAAAGGAGGATGTAAAGCTGGAAAGCATGAAGCCTGGGAGGGGGCCCAGATGGGAGAGGGGCTCACCTCCAGGCAGGAGGTCTTTGGAATGAGGAAAGCTTGGGACTTCACCAGCCCCCTGAGAGAGGACCACCTGTGAGGGAGGAAAGGAGCAGCAGAGCTAGAAGGCCTGGTAGCAGCCACTGATCCACTGGCAACAGAAGGACTAAGTGAGTAGACCTGCACCCCCCTGGACCAGATAGGGGAAGGAGCACTCTAGTGAGAAACCAGATTAGCAACTACCACTACCATTGGACTGTCATACTTTAATGTTATGGCAGAAACTGGATCCCCTGCTTACAGATTTCTCTCATGTAGCTGCATGAGAGGAGGATTCATCTGGGGTCTGGGGTGGTACAATCGGTGATGTTGGCTAGAGTCTCCAAAAGAGACTGTTTGCTGTAAAATCATGTATATAGCTCCAGGAAATTGTCCTCAGTTTCTCAGTTCTATTGGGCATCCCGTACATCCCTTACCCCTTCCAAGTTCAATTTCCCCAATAAAACTTTAAAAAACAAGCTCAAGCACTGGTTACTGCCTCCTGGATGCAAGTTGATCTGAAAATGCATGTTGCCTGGCTGTGTAGGACTATAGGGGGATCCAAACTTCAGCGACTCCTAAGGGGGTAGTTCTACAATTGCAAAAAAAAAAAACAATTTTCACTGCAAATAAAAATAGGTACAGCTGAATGAATTAAGTTAAAAGGGGAGATTTCTCAAGATGGTTACAGATGTAATCAGAAGCATAATTAATGCCAGTCAGGTTACTTCTCTGTTATCAGGGATTCCGAGTCCACAATCACAGCCAATAGCTGTTATAGCTTTGCAAAGATGTGCAATAGATTTACCAATGAACCTGCATCTATTTTCCACTTACGTTAGAAGGGTGTTGACATAGAGGTGTAATCCAACATCCAATCCAACATGAGTGCTGCAGAGGGCTCCATAAACTTGCAAGGTTGGACAGCGTTTCTTATCAGCCTATTGGAAGTTCCCACAAAGATGTTGGCCAGTGGCATCTGAATTGCAGAATTTTAACTTTTACCCAAATCAGTTTCTAGGGCTGCCCATGGCTTTTGAAAATAGAAGAGTAATCCAACATTCAATCCAACATGAGTGCTGCAGAGGACTCTAAAAACTTTCAAGGTTGGACAGCATTTCTTATCAGCCTATTGGAAGTTCCTCAAGAGCTGTTGGCCAGTGGTGTCTGAATAGCACAGTTTTAACTTTTCCCCAAATCTGTTTCTAAGGTTGTCCATACACCTTGGAAGGCTGTTGAACATACTGCAGAGACATAATCCAACATGAGTTGGGCTGCAGTTTGGAGACTATTAGTCCAGATGATATGTGGGTATGGGTAGCTATGTGCTGGACCAACCTGTGAACTGGGAATCTCATCCCTGAGGGTTTGTCTCCTGAACAATAGGGTCTCTTGGGATGGTTTTAGAGAGAATTAAGGAGAAAGTTTCCATAATATTAAACTGGCCATACATTGTATGAATTTCAGTTGGTTCCTAAGGAAATCTGCTCAGTGGGTGGTCCTGTCAGCCACCTCCCGCCTGACATCCATCAATTGAAAAATTAAGGGAGCCAGGTGGAAAAATTGCTTTCAAAATACAATGTGTACATTTATGTGGTTTAGTAAAAAGGAATCTGTAGGCTGAAAAAAAAAACTATGAATGTATGGTCAGATTGAGTCCATGGAGCAGAACCCACCAAATATGTGATTCATGCACATTTAAGCACACTTTCATACTTTGGCTGGTCCACAAAGGACCAGATCACATGGTATATGATCTGCTTAATGTTCCCATTCTACCAAAGCAGGCCTAAAGCCTGCTTCAAAGTTAACCTATTTTACCCCCAACTCCCATCTAAGAACTGAAATCATAAAAAAACCCATGTCCTACTAACCTATCAGTGCTTTGGGTTCCACCTGACAACACCTACACACAGCAGCAGGAGGATGTGTATTCTTTGTCAAAGGACAAGATTTGTGTTTGGAGGGAGCCATTGACCGGCTGGTGCTGCCTGAACTTTATTCTTCAATAGACCCAAGTACCATGGCTGTTTTTTGGGTCAGCAATCAGGGCCTGGAGCTGCAGACAAGTTATTCAAACTCATGGGGTTGATTTACTAAAACTGGAGAGTGCAAAATCTGGTGCAGCTCTGCATAGAAACCAATCAGCTTCCAGGTTTTATTGTCAAAGCTTAACCCCTTCACACCTAAGGGTAAAACAAATCTTAATGCCTAAGCACAATTTTGCAACTTTGACATGTGTTAGTAAAACTGTACATATCATCCCAACTACTTTGTATATCCAGGTGAAGGTGAATTATACCTTGTTTTTTTTCAGGACAAATTGGGCTTTCATTTGGTAAATGGTAATGGGTATCTCCTGATATTATCAAAGGATTATAAAAATTTTTTTTTTATTTTAGCTGTGTATTTTGTTACTGCCATAACCTACTACCAAAGAACAACCCAAAATACATTTTCCAGCTCTTGACGATCGCAGTTATACCATATATGTGTGTTATTTGTTGTTTGTACCCGTAGTACAGCCCAGAAACAATAGTGTGCATTTTGGGGTTTTTTTTGTTTATTTACCTAAAACACATTGATACTACACTGACACTGAAAAAAATAAATCCTGACCTTTGACCCTTACCTTTTGACCTTTTACCCTGACCTTGACCCAAACACTTACCCTGGCACTGGACTAGATCAAACCTTGATCTAGGTATTTTTCTTAATTTTTTATTTTATTTTTTTAATACTGTATGTATTTATTTATTTATCTTTTTTTTTTTTTTTTTTTACAAACATTTTTTTTCCCCTCTATGCCAGGAGTTAGAGAGATGCAATGTATCTCTCTCCTCCATTCACAGAGAAAAATATAACAAGCGGGTGGGCTATATAGTGACTGATCACTGTGATAGCCAATCAGAGGCTATCACAGCTATCATTATTTATTTATTTATTTATCGTTACCCAAAGGGTTTGCTCAATCATGTTACCCAGGGAGTCTCGGGTCCCGACGGGCGGACTGACAACTCATGGGCCCCCCGGGCAATAGGGAATCATGGGGCCCCTGTGTCCTTGCCCAAACTCAAAAAGCCTATGAAAAAGGTACCAGGGGCATCTCATGGGGCCCCCTACTGACCCAGGTCCCTCGGTGCCCGAGTTTCCAAATGGTCAGTCCGCCCCTGGTCCCGATCATTAGATCGGGGACCCGGGGCTCTCAGTGACACTGCGGTCTTTGTGCTGGGAAAACGCTGTGTGGCGCACTCCCAGCAGAAAGACAGGGACCCCACAGAAAAAATTCCAGTTCTGTGAGGCTGCATATTTGTGTGATGTCGGCGTGAAGGGGTTAAAGAAGGAAAGAAGGGTTCCAGGACAACTTTTTTTTGTGCAGTGTGGCTGTGCAGTGGAGCTCGTTTTTCACTAGGCGATTTCAGAGCATAGATATACTTACCTAATCTGCCGGTCCTCCGAGCGCAAGACTGGTCCCCGCCACTCCTGCCCCCCCCCAAGGCTAGTGGTCTGGTGAATGGACTGTTCCTGATGTTATCATGCCCATAGGCCAGCTCTGGATGAGCGGATGACAGGAACAGTCCACTGCTGGATGTGGGGGGGGGGGGGGGGGGGTGTGCAGCTTTCTGAAGGATCGAAAGATCAGGTAAGTATAATTTTTTTGTTGCACCTCTAGAACAAATTAGCAGTTAACCCATGCAGTGTGGACTCATCCCAATCCCAATCAGTGGTCTTGGCCAATGGCTGTGAGCGCTGATCTGTGTGTTCGGGTGGGGGCCCTGTCAGAACACAATAGCACAATGGGGGAGATCGCTGTACTACTAACATTGCTTGTATTAGTACAGCGATCCATCAGGTTTTTTTTTCCTTCAGTCTGCTGGTATAGTGTGTACCAGGCCAGGTTTTTTTCAGCTGGAATGTAGAGGAACGCACTGAATGCATGTGATGGCAAGGGGTAGCGGAGAGTGCTGGAGGGTTTATTGTTGCTGGAGAGGTCTTATGTTTCTGTGGGGGTCAATTGTTCTTGAGAATAATCTACTGTTGAGGGAGGGATCTATTGTTGCTGGCCGGGGTCTATTGTTGTGGGGGATCTATTGTTACTGGAGGGCATTTTGTTGCTGGGGTGGTTCTATTGTTGATAGAGGGATCTTTTGTTGCTGGGGTGGTTCTATTGTTGATAGAGGGATCTTTTGTTG